TAATAATAATAATAATAATAATAATATAACAGCATATGTATAGCGCAACTCTCCGCTCAACAGCAAGCTCTTTGCGCTTCGCAATCTATACTAGTACCCCAGCAGACCCGAGAGTATTCTGAAACTACCTCAACTTCCTGGAAAGCATGCAGTCAAGTGGCCATTTATAGGCCGTAAAACACTAACATTAGAGATATCCACGAGGTACAGTTTCAGAAACCAAAGGCTGAAATCGGTACTGCTAGTAGGATTTAGACGTTGGATGATAATAAATAAATGCCATTTGTATAGAACAAATCTCAACAGCGAGGGCTATGTACTTTATAATCTATTTTATCATCCCCACAGACCTGAATTTTAATACATTTTGAAACACTCTCAACTCCCTGGGAGGCATACAGTAAAAGCTGCAATTTCACAGACACTAAAACACTCGTAGTATACTGACAAAATCATTCGCTGCTGTATGGCTTGCTACAAATTCAAACCTAGATGAAGTAAGGAACGTTCGTGTACTAAGTCACAAGTGCCTTACACAAGGACACAACAACTGGCCAAGCTGAGCCTGGATGGAACCCCCCCCCCCCCAAACTCACAAAATAACGACTTCTATCCCTGTAACCTAGCCACTGCCAGTGACGTTTGAGAGATTAACATTTGGATGGGGCTTTCTTAAATCTTTACAACCATATTTTATTAACAATCAAATAGCAACCATTATAAATTTCCTCTAATTTTAGTTGACGAAACGATCTTTTTAAAAGTACTTCAACGAAATTCACAGCTTTTAAATCTCAGCTGCACAAACTTAAACGTGCGTTCACACAAAGCATTACAGACATATTTCATTCACAAAAGCACAGTCGACTGCGACTGTCAGGTCCAAGATAACTGTATCACTGAGCAAGTCCTTTAGCCCGTCACTTTCCTCCAGCCCTGAGTGCCACCGAGTTTGTTTGAGTAAAAAGAAGCACATCGACACAATAATGGCGATTTAGTGCTGGGGAAAAGTAAGACAGATAGACACAATCAAGAGAGGGAAACTACTGAAGTCGGACTTACTAAGTGCGTCCTCCAACCATTCACACCACCACCGAAGGGACTAAACACTACAACAAAATCTGTTAAAGAACACAGCCACCAACAAGGATTACACCTAAATGTAAAGGAAACAATGAACACTGATAATAAATGCAATGACGAGTCTATAATAGGAATTGATGGGGATCAAATAGAATTAGTAATCCGTTTCGAAAATCTCGATTCAGGAGTTGGGCAAAAGGGAAAACAACTCCACACATTAAACGGTGAATTGCATTTGCAACATGAAAACGGAAAAAGGGGACATCTATATTATGTAGAGAACAATGCAAAGACACACACTAAAACAAACATTGGTTCAAAAAAGATTTCTAAAAAGTACCTTGTTCTCCATCACAATTATTCATGTGCAGCATAGGTTATCAAAGAACAAGATTAAAAAATAAGTATTACAACTTTGAAAATAAAATGATATAGAAGATATCTTAGAATATTCTGGAGACAGAAAATTATATGAACGCAATGAAACTGAAACTGAACTACTTTGAGCACATCTAACGTTAAGGTTCACTCTAGAAACATATTATTCTAGTAGCAAAGATAGAAAGCAAGGGGGAGGTGGGGGGGGGGATGAGAACAGGGTATAGAAACCGAAATTGGAGCCAGCACTCGGGAATTCAGAGTAGCAAGAGACAGTGTCTTATAACAGAAAAGTCTGAGAAGCAAAATCCAACTACTGGAAAAGTTAATAAGTACGAGAAGAAGAACGCGACCGCTAGATTACAGACGTCTTGGCTGTCAATCTGCCTCATGTGCGCGATTCATCATGTTTCTTCCCTTTGCCCAAGGTTATTTTCGATTTTCTGGATTTGGCCCACCATTTCTGTCTCTTAATGAGCTCGCCACATTTGTCCAGCAAAGTGGACACGTTGTAAATCATCGGGTTAATGGCTGAGTTGACCGGAAGAACGAGAACAGCGGACCAGGCGTAGGCTGTGTAGCCCAGGCAGTGTCCCGTCAGAGATAGAATTCCCATGATGCCCACCGGGAACCAGCACATGAAGTCAGAGGCTGCCACCAGAAACAGACGTTTGGTCACCTTGATGTCCTGTGCGCGTCGAGAAGCAGGGCTGTTAGTCTTCCTCGTCACTTTACTCCTGGTGTTCGCGATCACGCGGTAGATGACCAACTGGCCGGCAGCGATGAGAAGGAAAAGGCCAAAGTTGAGAAAGATGAAGATCGCCACGGAGAATTGGAATCCAGGGAGTGAGCCATCACCCAGAGGCAGACCGAGACAGACGCCGTTACACGTGTAGGTGTGCCAGTGGCGGAAGGGTGGAAGCAGGGGCATGAGAGCGATCGTCAGTCCAAGAACCCAGGCCAGGGCACACAATGCGTGCACGTAGCGACCAGACAGCCGGATCTGACCGAGTGGAAACTTGACCACCAGAAATCTGTCTAGAGTGATGAGCAGGATGAAGAACATGGACGTCTCACTGGATACGGTGGAGAGAAAACCTGCGAGCTTACAAGCCAGACTGTTTCTCCACTCCGTGTCGCGCAGGAAGTAAATGCCTCGAAGACGAGTGTCTGCTGAGGCGATAATGAGAAGGTAAACGCCCATGAGGAAGTCCGAGAGGCTGAGATGTGCCACAAAGTGTCCGTACGCCATCCGCAAGGAGGATCTGTCCAGAAAGCAGCGATTGACGCATACCACGAGATTGCCGAAGAGGGCAAGAGCGCCGACGGTCCAGACCACAGCTCGGAGCGCCGTACCGGACATGAGATCAGAGCAGGAGGAGAAAGGGTCTTCCGGTGCATGGCATTGGCCCAGGGGGCGTTTCGTGTTGTAGAGTCGAGGGCAGCACAGCTTGTACGTGTTTGTGTACAAATGACCAATGCTCACGTGACCGAAACTCATTGGGGTGAACTCCTTTATCGGGATTTCCTGTAAATCTAGATGCATGATGGAGTAGACGCGAGGAAAAAACCAGGGTAGGATGCTGAGAATTTTGGTGCCTCTCAGTTTGAGCACTGACAGCGAGCGCAATTTTCCTTGAGAAGGTAAAGCAAAGGTAGAAATCCCTGTGTAGGAGAGGTCCAGGTGCTTTAGCCTCGAGAAAGTCTTGTCCACATTGAACGTTTTGAGAGCGATGTTGTGTGACAGATTGAGATACAAGACGTTATACGAGTGACGGATTATGTTTTTGGGCTGGAATGAGTCATCTAAAAGGTTGTGACTCAGGTCAAGAACTTCTAGGAACTGGAAAACTCTTTTCTGACACACTGTAATGTGCTCACTTTTCAGACTACATCTAGACACATTGAGATGATTTAGATAGGGCCGAGGGCGGCAGGTGAAATGATAAAGTGCCGCAGACACGTTAATCTTACTTACATCTAAACGCCTCGTCCGCTCATCCACAAAGCCAAGGTCATTGACTTGGGTCGAGAGAGCAAGGCCTTTCACAGAAACCGTCCCCGCCAGGCAGAGAAACCCCCCACGACACGAAACGTGACAGTTCAGTTCGTCGTCGCCTTTAGGACAATCGCGGTGATTGTCACAGATGCGGTCAGGGTGCAGCCACATTTCTGAGCGCGAGCATCGGAACAAGCCGCTACAGTCCAGCTTCATAGAGACCTCATCCTCATTCAGGGCACAGTCAGCGCGACCATTGTTCACGTAGTGAACGGGGATGCAGTAGGACCTTGGACATTTCACATATCCCTCTGGGCACGTAAAGTGCGTACAGTTGCTCAAATGTTTCATATTTCGACAACCGATGAGCTCACCGTAGACATCTAAGACGAATATACAACGAGGCCCCCAATTACTGGCAGTGGGATAACGAGGGTGCTGATTTTCGTAGCAGACTATGCTTTCCAGAGAACCGACTGACTCGTCTAGTGGTCCTTCTGGTCCTGTGCAGTGGACTATTTTATCTCCCAGCATCCATCGCGATACACAGTCAGTTCTGTTACACATAAAAACACAATCTGTGACATTATGGGCTCTGGCGATCTCTATTTCAGTTCCCACATCCTGGTAGGAGGAGCACTCTCTGCAGTCTGGCTCTAAGTCCATGAACCAGTGGGAGGGAAGACACTCCCCTGTGGCACACAACAGGTGGACACATCTCGCACACAGTCGGTTCTCGTCACTTTGGTCCCGTGGGCAGTCTGGGAATAGGTCACAGACGCCGTATTGTGGGATCACGTGACCTGTAGTACATTTATACAACGCTTTGTCTGTGTTACAGAAACTCTCGTCCTCTCTCTGGGGGCAATCGAAATCGACTTCACACACGTACGAGTATGAGATACTACTGGACGATCCCTCAGTACACTGATACCTGGGAATTTCTGTTAAGGATATAGCTATCTGGTATTCACCTCCCTGGTATACAGAGAACGTAAGGTTAATCGATGTATCGTACAGCTCCGGGGCTGAGGCGGAGAACAAGGAATTGCGGTGGAGATGGGATTTTCGGGAAAAGCCAAAGGCGACTTCTCCTCGGCGTATCGCAGACTCTCGACTACGTGAACTAACAAACGAACTTACCGAATATTCACGTTTAATTACCACTGGAGCTTGGACTTCGCACATGGCCAGACCGGAAACTGTCTCGCCACAGCCGATGCTGCTCCATGAGTCACTGAACTGAGGTCTTCCTGCTGTGCTATAAGTCCGGTGTATCGCTTCTGATCCGGCCAACTTTTGCATCAGTAATTCTTCGTCGTACTGACCTGCCATTGTGTCCAAACCCTCGCGGGTAGCTGAAGCGTCAGTTGCGAGTTGTGTCAGATTCCAAAAAGCACACCGCCGGGTCCATCTCCCGAAAGGCTCTCCCTGAGCCCAGTGGTTCTCCACTAGGGGATTCTCATTGATCCACATAAACTTATTTCCCACAGCGTGGCTGTCCCTCATGAGGCCGACAAACACGTAAAGTGTGTAAGGCAGAGTGACGTTATTGTATGACTGCTCTCTGAACCAGCGTGTCAGTTTTTCTCTCAGCATAACGCGCTCCTGCACCGTCTCCACAGTGACTAAAGAAGACTTGCCAGGTAGATTTGCACATTTCAAATTGGCGTCCATCCAGTTCATGTGCAAGTCCGGAATGAGCGTGTAGCAGGAGGACCTAGACATCACGTGACCTTGATGTGGGTAGGAGCCGTAAAACCAGCCGGCGTAACACTTCCGGCAGATGACAAGTGGGATGGCCTGGTCTGTCGCGATCTCCTGAGAGTTGGTGAGAAACACTGGACCAGCGAGGCGTTTGTCCAAGTCTGCATCCACGAAGTGTTGACCGTCTTCCTCCATCAAGATAATGGTAAATATCGTAATCGATTTGTGATTCAGAATGTCTGCCGCCATGCTCCTGTTTAGGCCCGAGGCAACTGCGTCGCCATGTGATATGATAATGACCAACGATTTCCGGTCACCATGTACTTGTGCAGTTCGATCTAAGAGAAAATTAATTGCCATCTCCTGAGTTTCAAGTATCGGTTTACTACGGCATACCTTATCCCAAGGTTTGGATGCCTTTATTGCAATTTTGGACTTCTCTTTGTCTCGATAATTACCGAAACCAATACTCACATCGAAATCCAACCCAGAGAAGTTGGAATTCTTACAGACGGAAAGTAAGGAAAAATCAAGATTCCCTACACTTGTTTGATTTTCCGGAATCAGGACGTCGATAATATTGGCGAAAAGCATCATTTGCTGCTGGTAGTTTTGGCGCGCTTCCTCCCCGCCGTCTGCCACGAATAAGAGGTCAAGGTGAAGGTCTTGACAGCTGTTAAAGAGTGGAACGTGTGCTGAGCCGGGAAGAAGTCGAGAGTGGTAACTTAGTCCCAAAGTGTCCCAGATAGATTCGTCTTCCTGTCTCAAAACAGACAAGTCACCTGCACAAATAGAAGAGCAATATTTCTATTCGTCCCCAGCCCCTCCTCATACTTTTAAAAAGTACTTCTTTGTAATAATATGATAATGTAACAACATTAATAAACGCCTCCGTAATATTTTCATTGTCTTTTTTTTTCACAAGATCATTTTTACAACAGGTTCTGGGGACGGGGTGTCTACCAATGGGTTGGGCCCAGAGATAACAAGACTGTTGTTGTTGTTGTTGTTTCTGCTGTTGTTGTTGTCGTTGTTGTTGTTGTTGTTGTTGTTGTTGTTGTTGTTGTTGGTGTGTGCGTTTGTGGCAGACGGGTTTAAGCGGCTAGCAGTGTCAGTAATTTGTCTGTTGCTCCTGTCTCTGCGACCCAGAGAAAAGAAAATTTGTCCCCAGAGTCACTGCCTCCTGCAGGTAATATAAGTGACAGTCCAATCTCACTCAGTTATCTTCCCCGAATTACTGTTGTCTGCTGACTGGAAGGCCATGTTGAAGATGAGAAGGAGCTTCTCTAGGGCTTCCTGACCTAGATAATATTTTTAGGAAGGTTGGAGAGATGTTGTTGGGGCCGTATGGCCTGCGCTTCAGTTTTGGCTCATGGATAAAGGGGACTTGTTGTGTTGTCGTCGTCGTTGTTGTTGTTATTGTTGTTTCAGTTGTTGTTGTTGTTGCTGCTGATATTGAAATCACCCCCCCCCCCCCAAAAAAAATAGTTCCGAGCTGGGTTCGCTGTCTGTCGGAATTAGCCAATTGCATTCCAGGATTTCCAATGATTTTCCCCCCGTACACTTCTTTGAGTCTCCAGAAAACAGTTTTGCTCCTTCTTTGCTATCTAACATCTTTGGTCCTGATCTCTCCTCCTTTTTTTCGTTCTTTTAAAACTTTCCTGTGACACCTTCACTCTTCGGCGCTTATATGACCTTGTTATGTTGCAAGTGCCGTAAAACCCTTTCTAAAACCAAGAGGTTCTTCTGACTGGAGTCAGTGTGGGTGTTACAAAAAACGGTGAAAGGTGGCGATTGTCACATGCCCAGTTCCTGTTCCTGACATATCTCGAGATAACCCTGCAGTTTCGATGTCACTTCTCATGGCAATCTGCAGTGATATATATTATTATGACAGGTCCATTACTCTCTAGTATTGTTGCAGTCTCTCTTTCCGACCTCAGACATTACATGCTTATGGCGGATCTGTTTCATTTGGGCTTAGGTTCGGTTCCATTATGTCTCCGGGAATGATGACAAATAACAACAAAACAGGGTTATAAACGTTGTTTTCAGAAACGGCTTGAATTTTGTTGAAATGTTTAGGTTGTGTTGAGGGCATGGGGTCGACAAGATTTGTGCTGATGTCACTTTTTTTTTCGTTTTTTCCTTTTTTTTGGAGGGGAGGGGGGGCTGCCCGGTCGAGACGTTATCTCTCTGATTGCATTACCGTCTGATATTTAACATTCATTAGTTTGACATCAGGGAACATGATGTGTTGGGCGCCTACACGATGCCATTAACTGTTGTCTCAGTGTTGTTGCTGCTGTTGTTGGGGTTTTTTTGGTTATTGTTGTTGTTGGTGATTTTTTGTTATTGTTGTTGTTGTTATTATTGTTCTTGTTCTTCTTCCTCTTCCTCTTCCTCTTCCTCTTCCTCTTCCTCTTCCTCTTCTTCTTCTTCTTCTTCTTCTTCTTCTTCTTCTTCTTCTTCTTCTTCTTCTTTTCCACTCCTCCTCCCTCTCCTCCTCCACCACCACCTCCTCCTCCTCCTCCTCCTCCTGTTCCTTTTCCTTCTCCTCCTGTTCCTTCTCCTTCTCCTCCTCCTCCTCCTTTTCTTTTCCATCTCACCCATTCTCTTCTTCCTCCTCCTACATCTCCTATTCTCCCTCCTCCTCCTCCTCCTCCTCCTCCTCCTCCTCCTCCTCCTCCTCCTCCTCCTCCTCCTCCTCCTCCTCATGTCTGCCTGCTTCTCTTTTCATTCTATATTTCTTTCACCGTTCCCCTTTGGGTTCTTTTCATTTTCTCTCTCCTCGCTCCTTTTGTTATCTTCTCTCTCTCTTTATCTCTCTCTCTCTCTCTCTCTCTCTCTCTCTCTCTCTCTCTCTCTCTCTCTCTCTCTCTCTGTCTCTTTCTCTCTCTCTTTCTCACTCTTACTACTTCTCCATTATCTCTTTGTCTTTCTCGTTGCCCGATTGTCCGCTCTTTTCATTTCTCATTCATTTATACGTTTACAGTAAAACACTGATTTTGGAACAGCTTGTACACCTACCCTTACACACGTACACATACACACACACACACACACATACACACACACACACACACACACACACACGCACGCACATAAAACACACACACACACACACACACACACACACACACACACGGGCGTGCACATACGCACAAACACACACTCACACACAAACACGTTCAAGCACACACATACACAAAAGCACAAACACGCACACACACACACACACACACAAACACACACACACACACACACACAACACACACACACATGCACATAAACAAACAAGAGCACGCATATACACAAACGTAGACTCGTCAACGCACCAAGTATCTCACCTGATATACTGACGAAAAATATCGTCGCCAACAGAAATGGTGACGTCAGTGCTGGACTCTGTTGACAGTCCATGATGTTTCTTTGCAAAGACCTGGCCTGTGCGACCCTGACAACAGGACATAAAGTCAATTTCAGAGTTGAATACTTTGTGTCACAAAGATAGGTACAACAATAAAATGTGTCCGATTAAGCAGAAATTTTTATAATATCGTCGACCTTTAGTGTCACCCCCCCCCCCCCCCCCCGCCCACACACACACACACACTGATACAAAATCCACAAAAAGAAAAAAGAAAAACCCCTAAAACCCAATCATAATACCACTATTTTCTTTGTACCAGCAGTCGTTTCACATTACCTTCCAGTAAGGTGAGAAATACGATGCAAAAAATTCTCTATCTATCTATCTATCTATCTATCTATCTATCTATCTATCTATCTATCTATCTAGCTAGCTACTGTCCGGCCAGGTTCACCTATACAGAGTGTCTAAAAATAAAGGGAACTTTTTTAAAGAGCAATATCTTCGCAACGAATTTCAATAAAACCTATAGCAAATAAACTTCAACCAAGAGTACATCAAATTTTAATTAGAGGAAAATAGGTCATCACGTTCGTGAACTAATTAGTTAAAAAATGTCAACCAGCTTTGAGTAAAACAGAAAACTTTACTATTTAAAAGCATTCAGCTAAAGGAACGTGATCAGTCCGTTCTATTTTCAGGACAAGGACAGCAAAAAACCACAATTACCTCATCAAGTGTATATTATCTCATCGTGCTCAGAAGGTTTTGGAGAAGTTTGGGAGGGAGAATGGGTTTTGCTGTGGGGAGGCCTGGTTTAATTAAGCAGGGTAAGGCCATATCCCAAACATCAAGAGTGACTCATTTAGGTTACAAGAAAGGTTTAGGGAACGCCCGGTAAGACGAAAGCTCACAAATGAATGGGCACTGCATAAATAATAAATAAATAAATAGATTACACTTTTATTTCTCCCAGAAGGGCATTTTGGTTTACAATGACGAACATACATATACGTACATAAATACATAATTATAAATACGTACATACATAAATACATGCATATATACATACATAAATACATAATATTATATTAATACAGAACAGTTTACAACCATGCCACTGTCGGTTGCCACAGTGCAGTGCCCTGTACATGTATTTTGAGCTAGGGTTGTCGTGTCTTGCTCAAGGACACACGCCAATGACCACCCATCTGATCCCCGCGTCACCAGCACTTGCTTGACATTACTTGAGTCTAAACTCACTACTAACTTAACCACCGGAGCTTTCTGAGCTGAACTCTGTCGGCTATTTTCTTAGGAGTATTTTTTTCCTCTTCCTTTCTTTTTCTTCATTCTTTTTTTTTTACACAGCCACAACCTACAATTGATCGAACAGTTGAAAACTAAGTTGAACAGGACGTCCAAGGAATTGACGCCGAATCATATTAAAGGGTTATTCAAAATGTCCATTTGTGTAATCATAACAATTCAAGTTTGTCTAGAAAGAAATGATCAGCATCTGAAACATGCACTTTAAAGAGGTCAATTTGATTCTTCAATTATGCACAAAATACGTTTTGGTTGAGTTTTAAGAAGTTGCAAGGATTTCTGCCTTTCAATCAAATTTGGTTCATCACCATCATCCGGTGCCTTGCCGGCTGACATTGGCGATCATCCACCCCCACTTTCATCAGTCTTGCGTTGCATCAATGGTGTCTGTTGTTCTTGCTGCTCCCAACCATGTTGTCAACTTGTCCAGTATCTTTTCTCTCTGTCTGCCTCTGCCTCTCTTTCCATCCAACTTGCCTGCTGTTACAATATTCTCCAATGCTTCTTTCGCTTTGTGTGTCCAATGAAAGTTGCCTGTCGCGTTCGTATATTCGTAATAAGCTTTCGTCTGCCATTTGCTTCAACCAAGACTTCTTCATTTGTTTTTCTAGCTGTCCATGGGATACGCAGCATGCGTCTTATGAACCGTAACAATTTGGTTACAGTTTTAAAAACCTGAAACATCCCGAAAACATAGTTTGACGTTGTTCATAATTATTACGACTGTAGTGTCCCCTTGTTAGATTTAATTTGCTCTGAATTCTTTAAAAGCAGTCCACAGATGACCAATTTCTAGCCTTTTAAATGGATTCTTTTTCGAAACATCCGGCAACTTGACAAAACAAACACACCCTAAAAGGAACGTAATGCGTGCTTGATCCGTTAAACTGTCACAGCTTGCAACACGGAAGTCGTGAGGATTTTGTAAAACAAACAAACAAAAGCAACCCCAACTTGAACACCATTTCCCAACCAACTCCCACAGAAGTGGCCTTATTTTGAAAGTAAAACGCAGAGCTGGGATATGATGAGAAATTGTTTGAACTAACAGAATCTCATAAAAAGCCCGAGACGGTGAAGACTAAAGGTGACAATCCATATGTGCGAGACGGCAGCGGCAGCGGCACGGCAGCGGGGCGATAAAAATCGCTCCAACAGAAATATCAATGTCTGAATCCATAAGTGCGGGACGGCAGCTCTGCCGCAGACAAAAATATGAATGTGGCGGAAGAGGATTGACTGTGAAGAATCTCTGTGTGATGCAGTCAATTCATTTGGCACGGAAAACTTGCTGAAATCATTGCACCCCGATGTCGTCGTTCATCCACCCATTTTCTTGATATGCCCAAATGGTGCCTTCTGGGCTGTCCTGAATAACAAAGGAATGGATGGACCTGTTCCTTATATGCTAGTGACAAAAGATCAAGATAATTGCGACTTTACAATACTGACGAAGTTACCCGTCGGCCGTGGCGAATTTACCCGACAATTGGTAACGTTAGTAAAATATTATGTATTTATTTAATTAAATTGATTGAAATAACAATTAAATACCTCCACATAGAGATAATAAAGCAGTTAAATTAATGGAGTCAATGCAAGAACATAGCAAATATGGATGATAATTAAGTCAATAAGAATGATAATAATGATAAGAATAATAAGATGATAAGTCCATAATAATTCAATGCAGAGATGTGTAGGCTCTATGAAGAAGATTCATAGAAAGAGGCGCACATTTCGTCCCGCTGCCGTTC